TAAGAGTCTCGTGAATTTTAGATTTTTTATTACAAGTTATCAGTTAAGAATTTGAATATAAAAGAATAAATTGTGTTCTTTTTAGCAAATATTTATAAAAAGCCTAATTAATAAATATTTTTTTAAACATAGAATTTTTTTAAAAAAATAGTTTCATTTTTACATTCTATTTAATATAATTTAGTAACTAATAATGTAACACATACCATCAAATTAAAATTATTTCTTAAAATAAAATTTTATAAGTTTTATCCGAACCCACAGTGTAGCGCGGGTAAAGAACTAGTGTGTACCTAAATAATGAATATAAGTTCGTTCTACAACACATTATTCAATCAGGTTTTTCCATCGAAGCTTACAAGTATATCCTTAGATAAGAAACTCGAAAGCCACTTGATTTATTAAAAAAAGAAATATGAAAGATTAAATTTCCACAACGTATGTTTAATTTTTTCCCAATTTCCAAATAAAATTAGATCGGATTTGAGTTTCTTCCATGACAATATTTTCATGAGTTTGAGTGAGAATATTAATAAGGAGCATAACTTGGAGAATGACCTAAAATATAAGGAGAATCTATAAAACTTATGATGATACATTGGAGAAAGAGTTTAAAACATAAGGATATGTACTTAGGCGAACTTTCCATTAAAATATAAATTCTTAATACAAATTCAAGACTATCATATTTTTTATATTGTTTCCATCATAATTAAACTTTCATCAATTTAATCTTAATTACTATGTATTTCATTACAATGTCTCCAAGTAATCCTATGACAAAATAATTTCTCTTAATTATTACAACATGTGTATCATGCATTCAAAAAGTAAATGACGTACCAAAATAAATCCCTTAAAAAAGTAGGTGCCAAATTCTCAATTTCATAAGAGGATAAAGGCATAAAGTACGAAAATCTTCTTGAACATCCAAGATTAATTTATTCACACTCAATTAGATTCTGAAGTAGAAGTATAATATGCTTTAATTTCAACTAGCTGGTATAAAAATAAATCTCAATTAAATGGTATTGGAATGCAACCAATACAGATTAATTCACAAATTAAGGAACTTAATTATATTATAATATGACCATCTTGCAAACTCATTGATTTTGTAAAAATCTTCGATGAAATCTTTCACATCCCATTAATTTATATTGAGATTTCCAATTAAGAGATTCGACTCTCAAATTGAAACACTTAAAAGAAAATAAGATTAAATATAAAAATATAAAAAGATTGTTCTTATATATATATGTGCTCTTAAAATTATAATTATTTAATACAAAATTTGTCAAATAAACTATATTGATGGTATAAGTATAGCTATATGTTAAAAAAATATGAGCATCCCATAAAAAAGATAATTAAAATAAAAGTGACCTTTTTTGTTGCTATGACTTTTATTAGCAAATTTTATAGTACTCGTTAAGGACAAATCTATCTTACACTTTTTTTAATAATGATTAACATATTTATTATCGTACAACGACAAAATGATGAACCAAAAATTAGGAAGTGAACAAAGTTATCTTACAAAAAATTATATAAATTTTAATTTTTAATTTAATATATTTTAATTGACTAACAAGCATAATACATGTTATCAAATTAAAATAAACATATTTAGTTTGACGCGTTGCATAGCGCATGAATCCGACTAGCCGATACTAATATATATGTCCCTAAATGATGAATATAAGTTCATTCTATAACACATTATTCAGTCAGGTTTTTCCATCGAAGCTTACAAGAATATCCTTAGATAAGAAACTCGAAAGCCACTTGATTTATTAAAAATAGAAATATGAAAGATTAAATTTCCACAACTATGACATTTTATTTAATTTTTTCCCAATTTCCAAATAAAATTAGATCGGATTTGAGTTTTTTGCGTTACAATGTTTTCATGAGTTTAAGTGAGAATATTAATAAGAAGCATAACTTGGAGAATAACCTAAAATATAAGGAGAATCTATAAAATTTCTGATGATACATTGTACAATGAGTTTAAAACATATGGATATGTACTTAGGCGAACTTTCCATTAAAATATAAATTCTTAATACAAATTCAAGACTATAATATTTTTTATATTGTTTCCATCATATTTAAACTTTCATCAATTTAACCTTAATTACTATATATTTCGTTACAATGTCTCCAAATATATATATATAACAAATTTACTTGACTTCCCCAAAGTTATCCTATGACAAAATAATTTCACTTAATTATTATAACATGTGTATCATGCATTCAAAAAGTACACGACCAAAATAAATTCCTTAAAAAAGTAGGTGCCAAATTCTCAATTTCATAGAAGGATGAAGCCATAATGTACGAAAATCTACTTGCACATCCCAATATTAATTTATTCTCACTCAATTAGATTCTGAAGTAGATGGAGAATATGCTTTAATTTCAACTAGCTAGTATAAAAATAAATCTCAATTAAATGGTATTGGAATGCAACCAATACAGATTAATTCACAAAGGAACTTAATTATATTAATACAATATGACCATCTTGCAAACTCATTGATTTTGTAAAAATCTTTGATAAAATCTTTCACATCCCATCAATTTATATATATTGAGATTTCCAATTAAGGGATTCGACTCTCAAATTGAGACATTTAAAAGAAAATAAGATTAAATTTAAAAATATAAAAAGATTATTCTTATTCTGTATAGTTTAAAATTTATCGAATAAAAAAATTTACAAACATTATTTAAATTGTAAAAAAGTTGCATAGCTGAAATATGATACCGTTATTAATTTTTGAATATTGAAAAAAAAAGATAATGCTATAAAAATTATTTTACTAATACAATATATATATATATATATATATATATTCTCTTAAAATTATAATTATTTAATACAACATTTGTCAAATAAACTATATTGATGGTATAAGTATAGCTATATGTATTTTTTAAAAAATATGAGCATCCTTATCCCTTAAAAAAGATAATTAAAATAAAAGTGACCTTGTTTGTTGCTATGACTTTTATTAGCAAATTTTATAGTTTTAAGGACAAATCTGTCTTACACTTTCTTAGTGATGGTTAACATATATATTATCATACCACGACAAAATGGTGAACCAAAAATTAGGAAGTGAAAAATGTTATCTTACAAAAAAATATATAAAATTTTATCTTTTATTTTTAATTTAATATATTTTAATTAATTAACAATATAATATATATTATTAAATTAAAATAAATATATTTAGTTCGATGCGTAACGTTGCACGTAAATCTGATTAATTGATATCAATATATATGTACCTAAATAATGAATATAAGTTCATTCTACGACGCATTATTTAGTTAGGCTTTTCCATTGAAACTTACAAAAATATCCTTGGATGAGAAACTCGAAAGCCACTTGATTTATTAAAAGAAATATGAAAGATTAAACTTTCAGGACGTATGACAGTTTATTTAAATTTTTCCCAATTTCTAAATAAAATTAGATCGGAATTGAGTTTCCTGCGTGACAATATTTTCGTGAGTTTAAGTGAGAATATTAATAAGAAGCATAACTTAGAGAATAGCCTAAAATATAAGGAGAATCTATAAAACGTATTATGATATATTAGAGATTGAGTTTAAAACATAAGGAAATGTACTTAGGCGGACTTTCCATTAAAAAATAAATTCTCAATACAAACTTAAGACTATCCTATTGTTTCCATCATATTTATGGTAAGGATATCCTACTGTCAAGGTTATCTCGAGCTTGTTTTGTTTATCTATGCATTAGTACAGCTGGATGTCCATGTAATATAGAAGTCTCTATAGCTAGTCATTCATGTTGTATAGAAGTCTGTCTCTGCAATAGCAGTCCTTGTAAATAATAAACACTCTGAACTCTGTTATAAAAACACAATAGCTGCAAGAATAAAATTCAACTTGATCATATGTAAATTCTTCAATTTAAACGTTCATCAATTTAACCTTAATTACTATATATTTTTTTATATTTCATTACAAGTATATATATATATATATATATAATTTACTTGATTTCCCCAAAGTAATCCCATGACAAAATGATTTCTCTTAATTATTACAACATGTGTATCATGCATTCAAAAAGTACATGACCAAAATAAATTCCTTAAAAAAGGTAGGTGCCCAATTCTCAATTTCATAAAAGGCATAATGTACGAAAATCTTCTTGAACATCCCAAGATTAATTTATTCACACTCAATTAGATTCTGAAGTAGAAGGATAATATGCTTTAATTTCAACGAGCTAGTATAAAAGTAAATCTCAATTACATGGTATTGGAATGCAACCGATATAGGTTAATTCACAAAGAACTTATATTATGATATGACCATCCCAAATTTTAAGAAATCCAACAATTATCTCTATTTTTATAGAATTTTTTGTTAAAAAACGAGGCAGTAGGTCAATTTGTTCTTTTATTTTAGGATTAGTCTTTAATATATTTTGATCGAAGTGGATGAAAGAGTTTTAAAAAAAAAAAAAAAAAAACCAAAAAAAAAAGAAGAAGAAGAAGAAGAAGAAGAAGAATTGGTATAGTCCAAAATAGACTAGAGGGTTGGATGCAACTAAAAGTGTGCAGAAGTAGAGGGTTCCATACAACGTGTTTTTTTGCCCTTGATTATACTATATATCCAATTACTTATTTGTCTCCAGCATCCATATTAATCTACACCCTCCTCTCTCCTCTCTGATGTAATCCTATAACGCAAAAGTGAAAAATATCTTAAGAAAAGGGAGTCCAAGATTCTCAGTTTCATGCAAGGCTGAATTCTTAAAATATTGTAGGAAAATCTTCTAGCACACGATCCCTTGATTAATTTATTCACACTCAACTAGATTCTGAAGTACAAAGATGATATGCTTTCCTTTTTGATTTTTTAATTAGATCATTATGCATCAATTTCACCTAGTATATAAATGAATCTCGATTCAGTGGTGTTGCAGTGCAACCACCCATTAATTAGCAATGGATCCTAGATTATTTGATGCTGCTTTCACTGGAAATGTGAATGCCTTACTAGAATTACTTCAACAAGATCCTCTCATTCTCCATAATGTGACAGTCACTACATCCATCACACCTTTGCACATTGCTGCACTCCTCGGTCATGCCCAGTTTGCCATGGCGGTGATGCAATATTGTCCTCGATTTGCCACAGAAGTTAACCAGCAAGGTCTTACTCCCATTCACTTGGCCTCGGCAAACGGTCACTGGGAGATTGTGCGGGATATGTTGGCTTGCAAACCTGATCTTGCTTTCATTAAAGACAAAGATGGAAAGAATTTCCTCCACACTGCTGCCACTAGAGGAAGAATTCAAGTGTTGAGAGAGGTATTTTCAACTGAATCAGCAAAAGAGCTTACATCGAATGGTGAGACTATTCTACATCTTGCTGTTAAACATAATCAATACCAGGCACTAGAGACTTCAATTCAGCTTGTTAATCAACACCAAATTGGAAACGAGCTTTTCAATGCCAAGGATAAGGACGGCAACACCATCCTCCACCTTGCTTGTGCCAAAAAAGAACCACTGGTATGCTATCTGCTTTATATTCCTGCTAGGGAAGAAAACAAAATATTTCAATCCTTCACTGTGCATGTGACTCTCCATGCATATAAATAATAGCATTGAGTTTTAGATTTGATGGCTTAGGCCTTATGGTGATTGATCCTTAAATCAGTTATTTACATGCTGCTTTCTTTATTTCTTTTCCCACAACATGGAATTTCTAACACCCCATCTCACCTACAACCCGTAAGCTTTTTCTAAGGTTGTTGCATGTTTGTTTTTTGTCTTTGTAAGGTCTCCTTTTGTACCACACAATTGCTAGTCGAGAAATTTTATAATACTGAATAAGTAATTACTGATGGCTACTGTAGACCAAAAAAAAAAAAAAAGCTGAAATGTTTTTATCACTTTTTTTTTTTTTTTCTGGATATTCCTTTTTTAAGCCTGATTTTTTCTGATAGTGAGAAGTATTTGTTTGCAGATGGTGAAACTTCTAGTATCAGATCAGACTAATTTGGATTTGGATGTGAATGTGGGCAATTCAGAAGGACTTACTCCTCTAGATATCGTGGAGAGATCGATGATAAGTTCCAATGAAGATCAACAAATACAAGAAATACTTAAACAAGCTGGAGCAGTGCTGTCAGGAAGGGTACGAGAAAAAGACTCGAGACATTCAACAGGAAAAGATATTCTGGATCCAGTAAAAAATGGTATGGGTATTCTGGCAGCTCTGTTTGGCACAGCATGTTTCCAATTAGGAATGAATCCTCCAGGAGGTGTTTGGAGTGAATGGGCCACTGGCACCAACCCCAATAGTACTTTTCATGCAGCCTCAGTTGACAATAACAACAGTACTTATATGGATTTCTGGTTTCCGAAAGTGTCAATATTGCCAATGTTTGTAGGTCCTTCCCATTTGAAAGTCAGTGATGCTTATCAACACAAACCTGGACTATCAATAAGTTGGGAAGTTCAATATAGGCATTTCCTTCAATTTAACCTATATAATGCAATTTGCTTTTTCTTGTCGATGTGGATCATTATGCTTTTATCATCAAGTGCTACTTTCAGGAAGAATGCTCTGTCTTCCGTCAAAATGCTGTCGACCATAATGTGCTTTCTGTTAGTCTTTGCTATGATGGAGTTTGTAGTAGGGATGGCTCTAGTTACAAATGATGCGGTGGCTGGAAATATCGCGTTTCAAGCTTTGATTGTTGCTTACGGCGTTCTAATTGCTGGAATTGCGGTTGCATTGTTTTTTCGTTATAGGTAAATAAATTAAATCATGATTGTCTGGTTTTGTAATTTTCATTATGCTCATGTTATTAATTTCTTCCCACACTTATGTGTTTTTCATTTCTAATTATTTAATTAACATATTCCTTGCAGGTTACATTTAAGAATTATTAATAAAATCCGTTGGCTCTACAGCATTGCTAGAGCAAAGGTCTTCAATTTCTTAATTCTCCATTGATGACTTGAATTTGATAAAGGTTTTTAACTACAGCATTTCCTTTGCAAGCAAGCCAAAAAATATATCCATCTATTTGTGATGTAACTATATATGTAAGGTTGATTTTAGGGAGACATATACATATATATAATATTGGTGTGTGTAAGAGCATATCTCTCGTCGATTGATTTTCATTTCATTCATATGATATTACGTTTTCTTATTTAGAAATACTTTAGTCTATAAAGTTTCGAATACGCTTTATAATTGAGGCTGGTAATATAGTTTTATATTCTTCGATAACATACTCCTTCAAGTAAATGAGATTAAAGCTTATATAGACTCACCAACATGTCGTACTTAATTATTTTACTCGAAAAACATCATATGATATTAGAAGAATATGAAAATATATTTTAGTTTCTACCAATTGATGCAGGTTTTAATTAGAAGGACGAGGGCAGAGATACATACATCCTTTTTCAATGAAAATAAGATTGATAAAAAGGAGAATTGTGAGTGAATGGGTATTGGCAGGGTGACAATTTTGTCCTGAACTCCTCAACAATATGATCACAAAAGCTAGAACCTTGATTTGTAGTTTAATATAGAACTTGGAGGCTAAAGTTTTGAATTAATGGTTTTTCCTCACTTGAATAGTATCCATTTTTTCATTTTTTCATTCTTTCAAATGATGCAATTTATAGGAAGACACTTATAGATTTTCCATTACTTTATTTCCAAAAAAATCAAAAAAAATGGAAAAACAAGAAGAAGAAACACTAACCTAAATACAAGCCAAGCCTCACGTATTGATCAAGTAAGGAAAACCATTCAAAAGTATAGTATTTCCGGTCAAACCCAACTATCGGCTGCTGTAATCACCTTTTAATTAGCCTCACGTTCTCAGTTTGAACAGTGGTTTTCAATAATTCATTTTGCTTGTATGAAAAAGTCTTGGAAAATATTTTTTTTTCAGAGGTAAATTATTTAATTACTCCCACACATTTTCTACAGCTATATTGCTAGTTGATGTTACAAAAATCAGGCTAATCATGTTTAATAATTATGAAATTATTTTATACACATTTACTAGGAAGGAAGGTACGTAGCTTCTCCCTCTCATATTTTGTTAGAAAAACCAATTAATGTTTCCAAATTAGCTAAGAAGACAACTGGTCAAGAAAAACATAATAATATTAAGGGTTTGTGCCCTTAGGGCACATGCTAATTATTTGTCATTCCAATTTTAGCCTTTCGATCATTGGTAATTTACAGATAATAGGAAAAAATTCTTAGATAAAATAATAGTTTTTTTTTTTTTTTTTGTACTCCTAAGAGCATTTTGGGATTAATTTTTATATATCCGAATAACAAATTAAATCTTTTTCTATCTAATTTAAGAGTTTTATTCTTATTTTGTTATTATTTCGGACCCTAACCAATGATAGTATGTCACATGTGTGCATTAGCCGATAACAACCTATCATGCCACCAATTCAATCGTTCAATTTCACCAATCATGACATATGATAAACTATCATTGACTAGAGTTTATCACGTATAGTTACGTGACACATTAATGTCCGAAGCAACAATAATTTTAAATTAGATAGAAAAAAACTTAGAATCTCTATTAAAAAAATTCGATAAAAAAAATATTCGCGTGAAAAAAATAATTAAACATTTCTCTCTTGAGCACAATAATTGAACACTTTTCTATTATGAAAACAATAATTAAAGACTTTTCTCTTTCATGAGCACAATATATAATTGAAAATTTTAAAATCCAAAGGCAAAGAGCCAAATTGAAAAAATGTATAAAAAGACGTGCGGTATAGATAAGACAAATTAAGCAAAGCATGACAAGGTAGAGTTGGTTTGGTGCCCAATAAACAAAGAACTTAGCATTTGCAAAACCACTATACATTAAACAAAGACCTTTTGAATTGATTTGATGCAAAATAATTATAAAGTGGACGGTGGCAATATGATATCATATCACTCCTAATTGGTAAGATTTAGGCTTTCGAGTTCTATGTTTGGCATCATCCTCTGTTCTACTCTATGTATCATGTAATGTAATATTCTACAACAGTTTGTTACAGTTTGTACGAACGAATTTCATCTTCCTAAATCTTAATACAGCATTATGTAATTAATACAAGAAAAATGAAAACATATTCATAAAAACACTAACTTTTACTTCAGACTGTCCCACATGTGATCGACAGAACAAAAATTGTCTATTAAGATTGCTGACTTCTATGTTGTCCGTGTCAATCTGCAAACAAGTGCAGGCAATTGTATAAAGGGGTGATGCGGAAAAGATGAACTATCCATGCAAACGCCCAATCAAATGCAAGTTCCAATCCAAACATATGTCCTTGCCTCCTCAAACTACACTATCTCCTTAATGTGGTACACCATTAATTTGATAAAGATTTATTATTATTATTATTTTGCGAAATAATAAATGCCTAATCATAAAGTTCAATTTGCAAGTTTAAGCTGAAGTGACAACTTCCAAAGTGCTTCTCGGAGCTTTCCCTCCTCTTGCTTTTCTTTTCAAGTTTCACATTGCTTTTATATTATTATTTTGCGGACTTCCAATGTGCTTATCGGAGCTTTCCCTCCTCACTGTTTATTCTTGTATTCAGTTCTCCTTTTTGTAAAAAAAATAAATATTAAAGGATCATCTCAATTAAAAACTTAAGCTAATAGGTGAATCCCTAAAATATAATTTATACTAGTCTCTAACACATTCTCTCAAGTGAAAGGCTCAACATTTAGGATATGAAACTTGAATAGATCTACATTGCCTTGTGCTTAATACTTGAGAAATTGGAGATTGTGAGACTTGAACTCGGGATCTCAAGGTCAATTAAACTCGATACCATATTAAAGGACCATCTCACCTAAAAGCTTAAGCTAATAGATAAGGCCCTAGAATATAATTTATACTAGTCTCTAACAAAAAAAATCTTGTAGGGTTTTCTTTTCTTTTTTATTTTCATTTTCTCTTTACTCTTCTCCAAGTGGTTTTATGGTGCTTCTATAGCATGATTCCTTTATACCAAAATTTAATTTGAGTTTTATCCCAATAAATTAGAAAGAAAAACCCAGAGATTTTTCAATGAGTTCTTCTTCAGTAAAGCATCTTTAAACATATACTTATTAATGTTCTTAATTAATCTTAAACTAACAGACTTTTGTGATGGAAGTGGATGAAAGAGTTAAAAAAATCCAAAAAAAAAAAACAAGAAGAATTATTATAGTCCAAAATAGAGTAGATCGAGGGTTCGATATAACTAAAAGCGTGTATGAGTACAGAGTTCGATACAGCGTATTTTTTTGCCCTTGATTATACCATATATCTAATTATATTACTTATTTGTCTCCAACATCTATATTAATCTACACCGTCTCTGGTGTAATCCTATAACCCAAAAGTGAAAAATATCTCAAGAAAAGGGAGTCTAAGATTCTCAGTTTCATCAAAAGCTATGGATCCTAGATTATTTGATGCAGCTTTCACTGGAAATGTGAATGCGTTACTAGAATTACTCCAACAAGATCCTCTCATTCTCCATAATGTGACACTCACTGCATCCATCACACCTTTGCACATTGCTGCACTCATCGGTCATGCCGAGTTTGCCATGGCGGTGATGCAATATTGTCCTCGATTTGCCACAGAAGTTAACCAGCAAGGTCTGGCTCCCATTCACTTGGCCTCGGCAAACGGTCACTGGGAGATTGTGCGAGATATGTTGGTTTGCAAACCTGATCTTGCTTTGATTAAAGACAAGGATGGAAAGAATTTCCTCCACACTGCTGCCACTAGAGGAAGAATTCAAGTCTTGAGAGAGGTATTTTCAACTGAATCAGCAAAAGAGCTTACATCGAATGGTGAGACTATTCTACATCTTGCTGTTAAACATAATCAATACCAGGCACTAGAGACTTCAATTCAGCTTGTTAATCAACACCAAATTGGAAACGAGCTTTTCAATGCCAAGGATAAGGACGGCAACACCATCCTCCACCTTGCTTGTGCCAGAAAAGAACCACTGGTTTGCTATCTGCTTTATATTCTTGCTAGGGAAGAAAACAAAATATTTCAATCCTTCACTGTGCATGTGAATCTCCATGCATATACATAGCATTGAGTTTTAGATTTGATGGCTTAGGCCTTATGGGTGATCGGTCCTTAATTAGTTATTTACATGCTGCTTTCTTTATGTCTTTTCCCACAACTGGAATTTCCAACACTCCTTCTCTCCTACAACCCGTAAGCTTTTTCTAAGGTTGTTGCATGTTTGTTTTCTGTCTTCGTGAGGTCTCCTTTTGTACCACACAGTTGCTGGTCGAGAAATTTTATGGTACTCATTGAGTAATTACTAATAATGACTATAGATAAAAATAAATAAATAGATAGGTTGAAATGCTTTTATCACTTTTTTTTTCTCTTTTCTCTCTAAGCTTGATCTTTTCTGATAGTAAGTAGTATTTGTTTGCAGATGGTGAGACTTCTAGTATCTGATCGGACTAATTTGGATGTGAATGTGAGCAATTCAGAAGGACTTACTCCTCTAGATGTCATAGAAAGATCGATGATAAGTTCTAATGAAGATCAAGAGATACTTAAAGGTGCTGGAGCGGTGCTGTCTGGAAGGGTACGAGAAAAAGACTCGAGACATTCAACAGGTGAAGATGTTCTAGGTCCAGTTAAAAATGGTATGGGTCTTCTGGCAGTTTTGTTTGGCACAGAATGTTTCCAATTAGGAATGAATCCTCCAGGAGGTGTTTGGAGTGAATGGGCCACTGGCACCAACCCCAATAGTACTTTTCATACAGCCGCAATTGACAATGACAGCTGTACTTATATGGATCTCTGGTTTGGGAATTTCTCAATATTGCCAAAGTTTGTAGCTTCTTCCCATTTGAAAGTCAGTGAAGCTTATCAACACAAACCTGGACAATCAATAAGTTGGGAAGTTCAATATAGCAATTTCCTTCAATTTAACCTTTATAATACACTGTGCTTTTTCTCGTCGATGTTGATAATTGTGCTTTTATCAGCAAGTGCAATTTTCAAAAAGAATCTTCCCTCTTCTCCCTATTTGCTGTGGACCATAATGTTTTTTTCTGGTAACATTTGCTATGACGGAGTTTGTATTAGGGATGTCTCTAGTTACAATTGGAACGGTGGGCTTCAATATCCTGGTTCAAGCTACGGCTGTTACTGTCGGCATTATTTATGCTGGAGTTATAGTTGCAGGGATTTTTCGTTGCAGGTGAATAAATTACATACTGATAGTCTCGTTTTGTCATTTTCATGATGTCCATGCTATTAATTTCTTCCCATACTTCAGTGTTTTCCATTTCTAATTATTTAATTAACATATTCCTTGCAGATTATTTTCAAGGATTAAGAATCAAATCTGTTTGCTCCACGACACCATAAGGTCATCACTTTCTTAATTCTCCATCAATGACTTGAATTTGATCAAGGTTTTAACTGCAGCATTTCCTCTGTAAGCAAACCAAAAAATATATCCATATATTCTTTCCTATTCTATCTGTACCACTTCATCGTCATGATGTTTCCAACCATGAATGATCTGGATGTGTGGAGGGCCATAAAAAAGTATTCTCGAATTTCTTTCCTATTCTATCTGAATGTGTGCTATTTATAAATAAATAAATAAAAGTATAAATAAAACTGTGTGGAGGGGTATTGACTTGCTGGATTACATTTGCTTCTTACGCCGAGCAACAGAACCCTAAAATTCTTCATCTTTACTGCACTCAATTTTATCCTTGATCGAAACCAGGCTCTCCTTGTAAACCATAATTTCGCAGCATGCACTAGTTCCTTGGAATTCAAGATCCTTGATTTCTTGCCTGACGGGGTTGCACAACATTAGTCCTTTGGTCTGGGATTCAAGAAAAACTTCACCACTCTTCCAATACCCGATTGCATTTTCAATGCCTAAAAGAGGTCCAAGAGTGAACTGTTTTATCCAACATCCCTCATTCATCACCCAAATGTCTAGAAACTTCTGAATCTTGTGAACAGTGAACAATGCTATTGAGTCATCGTACAATCCAAATGTCTCAACGGCTGGCTTCTCATACTCCGGTACCTTCATCTCATGGAAGATATCGGTAGCCATGTCAAAACAAAGAATTAGCTCACATTCCTTTTTCCATGCCCACCAGTAATATACTCCATCCAAGTACGTGTGAGATTTACTGTCCCTTAGATCATAATCCTCTGTTAGCTCTCCCCAATATTTCCAAGAATCAGTCCTTAATGTATACACTATAACGGGTGAAGTATCCCAGAAGCAACGGTCAATCGAAAGATTTTGAATAGAAACCACTTTGTAATCGTTGGTTACAGGATCCAAGCCAAATCCAAAAGTTTCCCAAAAATCAACATCAGGGGGAAGATTGGGCTTAGTTATTTTCTGAGGTAGAAGCTTGAATTCTTTGGTTGCTGGGTTCCAAAGACCGCTCTCTCTCAACCACAAAGAGAAATCTAGATACAATATTCCGTTACAAGGGCCACAAATAATTCCCTGCATTGGAACTTCAAGTCTTTGATGTGATAAATCTACAAGCGTTTCATCTTGGAACAGCTCAAACAAATCAGGCATGCCAGTAGCTATAAAATAGTGGACAAGAAGTCGACCTTCTTGTTTGTTCATGTGCTTGGAAATGAAATAGGGACTGGTAATAATACCATACCATGATTTGCAAACGCACTTGAATTGCAAGAGAGTTTTCACAGGCAACAATGACAAAACCTCAATCATCAAATCTTCGGGCAAAGGGCATTCACACACGAACGACATTTCTTTTGATCTCTCTCCATATCCTCTACATTCCTGAAAAATTAAAATAAAATGTATAAACGACAAGAAAAAGAAAATTAAGTTGGTCTCCACATAATTGTAAAACACGTAACGCCAATCTCTGAAAATGTTTGTAAAACTTGTAGAATCTAACCATCAGCCAAAGAAAACAACAAAGAAGCATGGTATAAGGAAACAGATTTACGAAATTGTCCATTAAACAAGATCAGTGTGAAATGGAGGATTCCCGGGCTCAGCGATCAAGGATTTTGAGATCGAAATTATGAACTGCAAAATGTGTTTGTTTATTCTTTCAAATGATGAAATTTATAGGAAGATATTTCATTCACACTTATAAATTTTCCATTGCTTTCTTTCCAAAATAAAAAGAAACATTTCCAGATATCTCACCATAACAAAACGAAAGCAAAACAAAGTATATTTTGAGCAAAAAGACCAACTGAATTCTTGTGCATCAGAAGAATTTAGTGGTGAACAAAGCAAATACCTAGAGGCAATGTCAAATTGGGTATTAAACACTCAAAAACAAAACATTAATTAAACTCTACTTGAGAAAGGCTGAAGCATATGGCAAAACTGAGAACGAATTATAACAGCATCTTCTTTTACAATCCACATAATCAAACTAACAGAAACAGGATTTGAACGTAACAAAAAGAAACGTATAACGGCACAAATTCTTATCAATTGATCATTTCATCACTTATTCATTATTAAGAACATAAGCAGAGGCTGAAATGCTTCTTACTTTAATAGAGTTGTCTGCTGATGAACTCATCAGTGCAGGCTCATTAGCAGAAAAGTGCAATGAAATTATCGAACTATCATGAGCCTCTCTTACAACTGATTGTAGTTTTCGTTTCTCCAGATTCCAAATGCTTATAACGCCAGATGAACCTCCTGATGCTAAAAGTGGCTGTCCATCTAAAAAACCAACAAACAATGAGTTTTACTTCAAACTGCTAGCTAGACAAATCATCAAGAACAACAGATACCTCATTTCCTAAACCTAAAGCAAAAGAACTAACTTACCTGTAGCGAATGACAATGCAGTCAGAGCACCAGGCATGGAATGCGTAAATGTAACCACCTCTTCATCATACCGAGTATTATGCACACGAATCTTCCCATCAGAACAACCAACGGCAACAACATCCAACGCAGGTGATGAGACACAACTAGTCACCGACAAACCCCACCTTTTAACCTCAAACAACATCTTCTTCGTACTAAAATTCCAAAGCTGCAAACCACCCTCTTGACTCCCAATCAAAACCTTATTCAAATAAGTATCCAAATGCATCATACAAGTCGGGGTAAACTTATTGCCCATCAGAATATGCCAAACTGGCGCATAATTCTCTTCAACCCCTTTAAATCCCAAAATAAACAAATTACCATCAACATCTACACTTATCACATGATCCCCAAATACCATCAACGAATTCACCTTCCCACTATGCCTACTCCACGTCGCCACCTATCAAAACCAAACAAAAAATTCAGTCATCAGCCACCCCAATTTCTATTCTTCAAGCGGCCCAACGAAATTGAAACAAGCATACAGGTATATCGTTTTCAACTTACCTGGTGAGCGCGTTTGAAGACGCATATATGGGCTGCGTAGACGACGGAGGTGAAGTCAAGATAGGAAGCTAACGTGCGCATTTTGTGAGGGAATTGAGCGCTGAAGAGGACTAAAATGAGCTTGGCGCAGTTGTAAGCTTGAAAAGCTTTTCCCTCACTGACCGTAATGAAGGTTTCCGTGCCTAATCGTTGGATGGAGAACGGCACGCCGCTTGGTATGTATCCGATTGCTCTGAATGGTTGGAAGATGCCCATTTTGGGTGAGAGATTGAGGATGGAGTGAGAATTAGGGTTTCGAACTGGAGGGAAACGGTGTCGGTTTGGTGTGCTTTTGGGGGGTTTAGACTTGAAAGAGATAAACCCTGGCTAAACCCTTTCAATGAGAGTTTAGGTTTTAAAGGAAGAAGAAGAAAGACGAAACGGCAACGTTTACCGTAGGATTTAGACAGAACCGTTCCGTGTTATTGTTTGGGCTTGAATTATTCAGGCGGGCCTGTGCCTATTAATTCTTTCTGATGGATAGGCCAGCAGCAGTCACAGCCCAATTTCTTTTTCTTTTAGGCCGTAATGGCCCATTTAGTTCATTGCAATTACATATGAAATCTCTTTCAATTTGAAAAATATCAGCAAGGAACGGAACCTGAAAAATCAACTAACAAATAAACAAATTGGTTTGAGCATAAATAAAAAATAATGCTTTCAATATGATTTTTTTGTTTTGTTTAATAAATCAGTCAATATCAGCAAAATAATATCAATTAAACTGAAAAATTGTGGAAAGAAAATTACTTTTACTGTTGTTCTACACTTTTTCGAATATATAACCTGCAACTTTTGCTTGTGTCCACAATTTTATTTAAAAAAAATGCTTGAGCAAACTGTTATATGAAAAATGCTTTCACATCCCATTAGCTGGGGTCATACACACTCATGTCTACGTAGTCTAACGTTTAATCTTTTTTGTGAATTGTCCAAATGAAAATATTCTGCAAACTTAATTAACAATACATAGCTTGAGGGGAGGACTTACATTTTCAAGTCATGATATTCATACAAAAACTTCACTCTTCGAGATCATAATTACAAACTTATAGTTACAAGATAGGACTAAGAAACCAATCCTTTAGTCTACTTATTATCGTTTATTTGATTACTGTTTGTAAAATTATTGTTTAAGACATTAAAATCTAAATTTAATATAAGACTGTCTAACATGCATTTAAAATTAAAATTAGAATAATTAAAGATAATTTAAAATCTAAATTAAATGTGAAATAATAAATATATATATATATAATAAATTCAAGATTTAAGATAAGACAATTTTTTTTTATTAGTTACAATTTTTATTTAATTATTTATTTATTTTTTGGTGCGGGGGTTGGACTGGACAGAAATCGATCAAGTCCAATTCTTTTTGTTATTTCCCCCTCCAAATATTTTGTTTGGGCTTGACTGAACTGGTCAGTCTAGCCCTAAATTCTTTCTCTATTTTCTTCGGACTAGGCTGATTGTTTTTTTTTTTCGGATTGGGCTGGACTGGAATCAGTCCAATCCAGTCATACATTAGTTAGGCGTAGCCCAGTCACACATTGGATAGAAATCAAGGCAATTCCAACCACTTAGACCCATTTTTTTTGAGAACCCTCAATTCAATTTTTTTTCAAAAAAAAAAATTCAGGAACCGTAGGTTTTAATTAAAGTGGATTCAGCCTCAATTTGGGGTTTTGTCAATTTTTCAAAATTCTTCCCCAATTGTTCAGTTTCTTTTTAGTTTGATTTCTTTCAATTTTTTCAACTGATTCTTTTAATGTTTGTTTAATGAACTCGAATTGATTCCCCCGGAAAGGCCAAATTTTAAGTTCTATATGATACTTGTTAACTTGTACCCTATTCTTTTAAGGGTGTATCCATGCCTTTATATCGCTACCTCTTCTTTTTTGAAGGAAAGCAACGACTTATCTTAATCACTAAAGCAAATTGTTGGTTTCCTCTTTAAACATACGGTAAATTCTAGTAAGTTCTAGTTAGGGTTTGTGCCATTACGTGGTTCTCTAGTTTAAATAGATAACTTTCATGTGATATACGTGAATATTGTTGAAAATTAATGTTTGATTCAATAATATATTCTTACCGGAAGACAATATATATATATATATATATATATGGAGAATTTTATAAAGAACGAATACAATCTATAATCACTTTGTATAAAATTAATATGTTTAGTTAGTTTTGGATACCTATGTGTTATATATTATAATAATTCGTAAAAGAATATTATGATCACAAGATGGATATACTAACATTTCTTTGAAATGAATCAATCTACATATGTGATAGCGAAGTCAAAGTAATTCTTGAAATTATTATTCTTTATTTTTATTTATTTATTTATTTTTTTTATCATTGTGAGATCACATCGATCGTTAATATTTTATTAGAATAAGCTTGTTCGTTTTCATAATTGCTTAATTTTATCCCAAGTATGAGTAGAATCTTTTATTTAGTTGGAGTGAACTTTAGTCAATCAATTAAAGTATATGTTACAGAATAATGTGTTAATATGTTGGGATTTTATTCAATAGCTTATTTTTGTTTTTCATTTCTTTTTTGTATTGATTTTACTTCCTTAAGTCCCACCCGCGCGGCCCACAGCCCACACCAAATTACTCACCGCACTGCTCCTCCTTTAAGTCCAGTCCAGCCCACTCGGCCCACATTCCACACCAAATAACTCCACAACGTCCAGCTAAAAAAAAAAAAAGATTCAGGTGAGCAGTAATTATGGAAATTTGTATAAACCTATTTGCAATCAAAAATACAAATTTATGCTTAAAACATAGAAATTTGTATCAACCAAAAAAGCAAGCTTGCAAACTTAGTTCTATCGTTTATTTAATTACTGCCTACAAAGTTATTAGCTATAAAATTACTACTTAAAAGATTTAATGTTAATATTTTTATTGAATAAGTGTTTAAAGAAGAGCGTTAAAGAAAATATTACTACCAATCTTCTTTCACTTTATATGGCAATGCTCCATAAATTTCACATCAAAAACTGTTAATTCTATCATTGTTTCACCTTAATTTGTTCAAAATCAAAATGTAAAGGTGCACAGTAATGATGATGTACGTGAAATTAGTTTATAATTGTCTTGCAGTTTTATAATGCAGAAGTAGAGATAATGATAAAAGGTATGGTGCATGCTCTTGCTGTTTGTCATAATTTTAGTCCCCTAGAAAAGAAATTAAGTAATGAAATTTTGTGGATTTGAATTGTAGTAAGATATCTGGTAATGTTTTTTTTTTTTTTTTTTTTTGGAAACAATGGAAAATTTATAATTGTGAATTTAATGTCTCTGTATAAATTGCATCATTTGGAAGAATAAACAAACACATTTTGCAGTTCTTAATTAGATCCCAGAAATTTTGTAAGAAACCTTTTCAAACTTTTTCATAAATCTATTTCCATAGGCAGTTCATATTTATATCCCATAAATGCTGATCTTTTTTCGATAAATAATTTCTTTCTTCGTCTTTTTTCCCCTGTCACTAATGGTTAGATCCCACAAGTTTTATAACCCCTGTCACTTAAACTTTTGAGATATATATATATATATATATTTGGGATAGAGGAGATCCACAATTTGTGTTCTTGCAAATATGTATAAGACAAATTATTTTTCTCTTTATTGTTGGTTATAATTGAGGCTCATAATGTGGTTTTATATTATTAATTAACACATTCCCTCGAGTGAATGAGATTAAGGCTTGTATAAACTCACCATCACCTTGTAATTAGTTTTTTTACTAGAAAAATATTAGATATGATGATATTAGAAGAATTAATATGAAAATATATTTTAGTTTATGCGAATTGATGCAGGTTTTGATTAGAAGGATGAGAGCAGAGATGCATGTATTTTTCAATGAAAACAAGATTGACAAGAGAAGAATTGTGAGTGAATGGGAATTGACAGGGTGACAATTTTGTCCTGATCAACTCCTCAACAATATGATCACAAAAGCTAGAATCTTAATTTGTAGTTTAATATAGAACTTAGAGGTTTAAGTTTTGATAAAAGTTTTATGATTTTTTTTAAAATTATTGTTGGAAGATTGTTATCAATCCCTAAAGAATTAGGAGAATTGATAATTTTTCAATGATTAACGATCGAGTCTAAATGCTTAATAAATAAATAAATTAATTAAAGCTATATTAATTAAGTAAATTAAAAAAATTCAAATGGAGAATTTAAATCAATAACAAACATATATAAAATAAATACGAGGTTAAAATTATATTAATTAAAATAATTATAGAAAATTTAAACATGAAAATCTAAATTTAATATAAAATTTCCTAGCATGCATTCAAGATCAAAATTATATTAATTAAAATAATTAAAAACAATTTAAAATTTAAATTAAATATGAAATAATAAACATACATAAAATAAATTTAACCTTAAATTCTTTCTTTCTTTTCTTCGGACTGGGCTGGTTTTCTTTCTTTCTTTTTTAAAATTCCAGTCCAGCCCAGTCACTCATGAGTTAGGCCTAGCCCAGTCACACGTCGGCTAGAAATCAAGGCAATTCCTCATGATTTCCCTCTTCCTCTTGCGTTTGTTGCTGTCCTATATATGTGAATTATGTTGGTCCGCCTATCCTCCCCCTCCCTCTCCCGAAGATGGTGAGGGATTTTCTTTTTTGCAGGTGGCAGAAGTGTAGGCTGGTTGTAGGTGGGCTGCAGCGGGATGTTGTTGGTGGGCTGTCTCTGGCGGCAGTGCTGCAGGATTTGTGTGCTGCAGCTGCAGTGCAGGCAGAGGTGGTGCAAGAGCTTCGGAGCAATGGTTGCAGTGGTTGGAGGCTGGAAGTTGCAGGCACTGCGGAAAGCTGGAGGCTGCAGGGTCTTGGTGAACAAAAGGGGAGGGCTGACCTGGACTTGAAGATTGCCTTCTCAGTTTTCCTTTTTTTCTTTTTTGGTATTTTTCTGTATTTTTTTATATAGCTCTTATGATGAATTAAAAAAAAAAAATTGTCTTTCTAATTTTGTTTATGAGTGCTAAATAAGTTAGAAAGAAATAAATAATAAAGAAAAATGAAGAAGGGAAAATTTGGGGTATGAAAATGATAAACAGTAAGTGCTTGTATTTTTATCTCTACTTTTGCAATAGAAAGTAAAAACTAGCCAGTACCCCATTTCTGGCTATAAATATGTCATAGCCCTTCTCGCAATGGTATTTGCTTTGCTTCTTGATCATTAACAAAAAAGAAAAGTTGCCACAAAACGATGTCCCCTTTGCCTCTCCTCCTTTTTGCTTGTGCTCTTCTCTGTTTTATCATATCTTCACATTCTGAGGCCAATCCTCCACCTCCACCTCCTCTCACTCCGCCCCCACCCCCACCGCCAGACCATGCATGGCTGGTTTACACTTGGCCATTTGGCTACTGCTTAAAACCACCGGTCATTGACAAATGCAAACTGGCACCTTTGCCAGAAAAACTTGTTTTGCATGGTTTGTGGCCAGTTAACAAAAATGGGTTTCCTGTGATGAAATGCCAAGAAAGGCGTGACATTTCACCTCTGGTATATATCTAATTCCTTTTTTGGGAAATTTTTTCTTTATTTTTGTTCATTCATTTAACTTTGGTCATTATTTCTGACACTCTTATACTTGCGTTTGTAGTTCCAAAGCGTAGATTTTTACGACTCTATGATGCAACACTGGCCCTGTCTTACGGCCCCAGTTGAATCCAGCAAGAAACAAATTAAATTCTGGACTGATGAGTTTTTTAAGCATGGCAGTTGCTTCGCAGGTGAAACACCCGAAGTGTTCTTCCCAAGGGTGCTGAGCTTAGGGACGGAGATAGGTCTGTACGAAGCTTTGCTGGCTGAGCAAATAACTCCCGGTGCTGTCTACCCGAGAACTGCATTTGAAACCGCCGTCGAAGCAAAATTGGGCTCCAGTGGCATGATGATTATGAAATGCTACAAGGATGGCAATGAACTGATTCTTGATGAGATAATGATATGCATGGACGTGAAAGGAGAGGCAGCCGTACCATGCTCGAGCCTGGAGGTGATTAACGAGGATACTTGTGGGAGTGGAACCAATGGGATCACGCTGTTGGGTAGTTCGCTTGGTTATATTTATACCAGTTAAATATCTGTCTGCGCAGAGTGCATAGGTTGAAAAGCCAAAACATATTAAATTATTAAAGGCTGACGAAGAAAACTTTATGATGGTTTATGGTTTGTCTTTTATATATGGTCTAGTAATGAATCCCTAGCTAGCTTTCTTGCTTGCTGATGGTTTATAGTTTGTGTTGTGTTGTGACTAATTTGCTGTTCTTAAGTTAAACAAAGAAAGAAACAATATTCAATATTTATATTGGATATTAGTTCCTGCAGATCTCGCGCTCTTAAGTTTCTTTTCTTCTCTGGTTGTCATTTGAATCTTAGGGTTTTAAGGTCAAAGGAATGGAATGGTACATTTTCGCTTCTTTTATTGATCATGCATGGGCCTATCTCAATATTGAGAGAATGAAACCTAGATGGGTTTGATTGTGCATTTTGAATATTCAAAGATAGAGGAGGTGGTTGTGAACATGATCCCACGGAATTAAACGGATCAGGCCCAAAATAGAGGTAGGACCAATGGCCCAAATTCAAGAGGCAGAACCACTGTCTTTTTCGTTTTTTTGAATAACTAATAATAAATAACTACAGAGAGGCAATACTAATCCTACACTAGTCTAAAGTACTTCTCAATAAAAAAAAAAAAAGGATGAGAGAAAATTCTCTATCAAATTTGCTCATTTTTTGTAACTTTTAACAAGAATGTGTGTTATTTATAAATAAATATAAATAAAAATGTGTGGAGGGGTATTGACTTGCTGGATTACATTTGCTTCTTATGCCGAGCAACAGAACCCTAAAATTCTTCATCTTTACTGCACTCAATTTTATCCTTGATTGAAACCAGGCTCTCCTTGTAAACCATAATTTCACAGCATGGGCTAGTTCCTTGGAATTCAAGATCCTGGATTTCTTGCCTGACGGGGTTGCACAACATTAGTCCTTTGGTCTGGGATTCAAGAAAAACTTCACCACTCTTCCAATACCCGATTGCATTTTCAATGCTTAAAAGAGGTCCAAGGGTGAACTGTTTTATCCAACATCCCTCATTCATCACCCAAATGTCTAGAAACTTCTGGATCTTGTGAACAGTGAACAATGCTATTGAGTCATCGTACAATCCGAATGTCTCAATGGCTGGCTTCTCATACTCCGGCACCTTCATCTCATGGAAGATATCGGTAGCCATGTCAAAACAAAGAATTAGCTCACATTCCTTTTTCCATGCCCACCAGTAATATACTCCATTCAAATACGTGTGGGATTTACTGTCCCTTAGATCATAATCCTCTGTTAGCTCTCCCCAATATTTCCAAGAATCAGTCCTTAATGTATACACTATAACAGGTGAAGTATCGCAGAAGCAACCGTCAATCAAAAGACTTTGAATAGAAACCACTTTGTAGTCGTTGGTTACAGGATCCAAGCCAAATCCAAAAGTTTCCATAAAATCAACATCAGGTGGAAGATTGGGCTTAGTTATTTTCTGAGGTAGAAGCTTGAATTCTTTGGTTGCTGGGTTCCAAAGACCGCTCTCTCTCAACCACAAAGCGAAATCTAGATACAATATTCCGTTACAAGGGCCACAAATAATTCCCTGCATTGGAAGTTCAAGTCTTTGATGTGATAAATCTACAAGCGTTTCATCTTGGAACAGCTCAACCAAAGCAGGCACGCCAGTAGCTATAAAATAGTGGACAAGAAGTCTACCATCTTGTTTGTTCATGTGCTTGGAAATGAAATAGGGACTGGTAATAATAGCATACCATGATTTGCAAACGCACTTGAATTGCAAGAGAGTTTTCACAGGCAACAATGACAAAACCTCAATCATCAAATCTTCGGGCAAAGGACATTCATACACGAACGCCATTTCTTTTGATCTCTCTCCATATCCTCTACGTTCCTGAAAAGTTAAAATAAAATGTATAAACGACAAGAAAAAGAAAAGTCAAAATGGGTATTAAATACTCAAAACAAAACATTAATTAAACTCTACTTGAGAAAGGCTGAAGCATATGGCAAAACTAAGAACGAATTATAACAGCCTCCTCTTTTACAATCCACATAATCAGACTAACAGAAACAGGATTTGAACGTAACAAAAAGAAACGTATAACGGCACAAATTGTTATCAATTAATCATTTCATCTCTTATTCATTATTAAGAACATAAGCAGAGGCTGAAATGCTTCTTACTTTAATAGAGTTGTCTGCTGACGAACTCATCAGTGCAGGCTCATTAGCAGAAAAGTGCAATGCAATTATCGAACTATCATGAGCCTCTCTTACAACTGATTGTAGTTTTCGTTTCTCCAGATTCCAAATGCTTATAACGCCAGATGAACCTCCTGATGCTAAAAGTGGCTGTCCATCTAAAAAACCAACAAACAATGAGCTTCACTTCAAACTGCTAGCTAGACAAATCATCAAGAACAACAGATACCTCATTTCCTAAACCTAAAGAAAAAGAACCAACTTACCTGTACCGAATGACAATGCAATCACAGCACCTGGCATGGAATGCGTAAATGTAACCACCTCTTCATCATACCGAGTATTATATACACGAATCTTCCCATCAGCACAACCAACGGTAACAACATCCAACGCAGGTGATGAGACACAACTAGTCACCGACAAATCCCACCCTTTAACCTCAAACAACATCTTCATCGTACTAACATTCCAAAGCTGCAAACCACCCTCTTGACTCCCAATCAAAACCTTATTCAAATAAGTATCCAAATGCATCATACAAGTCGGGGTAAACTTATCGCCCATCATAATATGCCCAACTGGCGCATAATTCTCTTCAACCCCTTTAAATCCCAAAATTAACAAATTACCATCAACATCTACACTTATCGCATGATCCCTAAATACCATCAACGAATTCACCTTCCCACTATGCCTGCTCCACGTCGCCAACTATCAAAACCAAACAAAAAATTCAGTCATCAGTCACCCCAATTCCTATTCTTCAAGCGGCCCAAAGAATTGAAACAAGCATACAGGCATATCGTTTTCAACTTACCTGGTGAGCGCGTTTGAAGACGCATATGTCGGCTGCGTAGACTACGGAGGTGAAGTCAAGATAGGAAGCTAAAGCATGGATTTTGTGATGTAATTGAGGGCTGAAGAGGACTAGAGTGAGCTTGCCGCAGTTGTAAACTTGAAAAGCTTTTCCTACACTGACCGTAACGGAGGTTTCGTTGCCTAATCGTTGGATGGAGAACGGCACGCCGCTTGGTATGTATCCGATTGCTCTGAATGGTTCGAAGATGCCCATTCTGGGTGAGAGATTGAGGATGGAGTGAGAATTAAGGTTTCGAATTGTTGGGAAACGGTGTCGGTTTGGTGAGCTTTTGGGGGGTTTAGACTTGAAAGAGAGAAACCCTAGCTAAACCCTTTTGCTGAGGATTTAGGGTTTAAAGGAGGAAGAAGAAAGACGAAACGGCAACGTTTACCGTAGGATTTAGACAGAACTTTTTCGTGTTATTGTTTGGGCTTGAATTTTTCAGGCGGGCCTGTGCCGATTATTTCTTTCTGATGGATAGGCTAGCAGCACTCATAGCCCAATGTTTTTCTTTTAGGCCGTCGTGGCCCATTTGTTTCATTACGATTAGTGACGTTTATCTGGCCGAATGTTAATATTGTTTACATATGAAATCTCTTTCAATTTGAATAGTCTAATCGTTTCCACTTCTATTTTCCTAGCAAGAAATGAAACCCGAAAAATCAAGCGGAAACCGTACACCACTGACAAATAAACAAATAGCTTTGAGTAAAAAAAAATTAAATTAACAAATAAACAATATTGCTTTCAATATGATTTTTTTTGTTTAATAAATCAGTCAATATCAGCAAAATAATATCAATTAAAGTAAAATTTTGTGGAAAGAAAATTACTTTTACTGAACTAATTATTTTACTCATAGCATTGCTTATCATAAAGTTATTTGGTCTTTTCTTCAATATAAAACTATATTAAGGCTCCATTTGTTTAGGGGAAAACAAGTTTTATAGGAAATCAATTCCCGAGGAAGCTATTTTCCTGAAAATTGTTTTTTAAGAAAATATTTTCTGTTGTTTGGTAATTATATGAAAAAGCTACTGAAAAATACATTCTAACGTTTATTTGATACGAGAAAATTAAAATACAAAAACTTATGTTATTGTTATATCAACAAGTTTTGAGAAAATTTTAAAAAGACATTCATAATTTCATAATATAAGATACATTTAGAAAAATTTAATAAATTTTCATCAATACTAACTCTAAAATTTTAATTCAAAAAATAAAATGTACTTTTTAACAATCAAACCAAATCATCAAAATTACTTGGGACAAAATTAAGTCAATATTCATATTTGGTAAAAAAAGATTTTAAGTAATCTTAGCATTATTATTTTAGTAACTCAATTAAGAATTTTTTTTAAAGAAATTGAACTGATAATTTAGTCTAAAATTTTATAAATTATTTTTTATCATCTATAAATAATTATTTATTTGATCTCAAAAGATTAATGTTGGAATAATTTGTAACTAATTATTCATTACAATTACCAACGAAATTTTATAAGTGATTAAAATTATAAATTATTGATTTAATTGCAAATGAATAGTGTTGAAAAAATAATGTATTTATTGATGAATTAATTAATTTTAATTTCTTTTTACAAAAAATTATAGTCTTGTAATAATCATTTTCAATTATTTAACTCTAGCTTAGGTAGTGATCTAGACAATAGTAAAAAAAAGAGATAAGTTATTGAAATATTTATTATAAAAATAATTTTAAGGTGTAAAAATGATTTTTAAGAATATTTAATGTATCTATAAATCAAAAAAATCAAATATTAGTAAAGATATAGAAAAAATAATTAAATAATTAATAATAATTGATAAGAAATAATTAAAAATTAATATGATATATTTTAAATAAAAAGAAGATAGAGAAAAAAATTGAGAAAGAGTTATATAACGAAAGAGCGAGATAGCTCGTGAGAAGAAAAATGTTTTCCTCTTTTGAAACTGGTAAAACATTTTTCTAAAATTACTCTATCATTTTCTATTGACTGAAAATCATTTTTCATTGACTTTTTTTCTGAATGTGAAACAAACATCTGAAAAATGAAGAAAACAAGTTCCAGGAACTTGTTTTCCTATAAACAAACACAGCCTAAATGAACTACAATCATTTTGGAAACTCCTAGACAAACTGGATTGTATGTTACAAGGTTGATTGTGCACAATCACATTGGTTTTAAACTTATAATGCAAGTTCTATAAACCTATTTGCAATAAAAAATACAATGGAAATTAAAGTTTTATGGTGCAAAAGTACAGATAATAATAAAAGGTATTGTGCATGCATGCATGCACTTGCTGTCTTGTGATAATTTTAGTCCCCAAGAAAAGAAATTAAGTAATGGAAATTTATGGATTTGAATTGTAGTAAGATATCTGGTAACTTTCATTATTTTGAAAACAATGGAAAATTTGTAATTGTGAATGTAATGTCTCTCTATAAATTGCATCATTTAAAAGAATAAACAAACACATTTTTGCAGTTCTTATTTAATCAGATCCAAGAAATTCTGATTGTTTGATAAATAATTTTGTAAGAAACCTTTCCAGATATGTTTTTTGATAGACGATTTCGTAAGTCTGTTTCCATAAACAGCTCATATTTATAGAGAGACATTACATTTCGCAAGTCTGTTTCTAAGAAATTCTGATTTGAACTGTTAATCATATTTTTTCGTGAGTCTGTTTTCATAAACAGTTCTTATTTATATCCAAAAAATGTTGATCTTTTTTGATAGGCAATTTGTAATGGAATATTTTATCTAGATTACTCTTGCTACTTGAGAGATAGCGGCCGGTCTTTGGAAGTTGGAACCCCAGCAACCAAAGAATTCAAGCTTCTGCCTACGAAATTAACTAAGCCCAATCTTCCACTTGATGTTCGTATTTTGGAAACGTTAGGATTTGGATTGGATCCTGTAACTAGCGATTACAAAGGGGTTTGTTATTCAAGAACTTTTGGTTGACGGAGGCTGCTCAGATCATTCACCAGTTAGAGTGTATACATTAGATGCTTGATTACACTGTAAGATATGATTTTTTTTTTCTTTTTCTGTTTCTTTGTCAGAATTGAAGTATGACCCTCGAAATTACAGTGTAGCTGTGGTATCTAAAGAAGAACATGATGATTGCTATATATGAGAAAAGTCAGTGGTGTATCATTCAGGAGATGATAAAATCCAACGTAATTTTGGAGCAAATTTCTTCATATGCTCTGTGCCCGACTTTTGTGCAGGAGGAACGAAGATGGCTATTAATGCCACTGCACCACCACCGGTGCCTCCAATGCTCTGAAGAATATGGGCTGATCGATCTCATGGAAAAAGGCCAGAAACTCCTAGCTATTACTAGTGGACAATTTATTTAACGAAAATGTATAGGATTTTAAATATATCAAAATCCCGTATAATTTATTTATTTTTATTAAAATCCTAAATTTTTTCTATCCAATTTAAAAATTTTACTCTTATATTGTTGTTATTTTAAATCCTAATATGTCACGGAAGTATACGTAACAAGCTCCAGCCAATTACAACTTGTCATGTGTCATGACGGATCCAAATTATGTGATTGAATTGGTGATTTAATAAGTTATCATTGATTAAAGTATGTCACATGTGTTTATGTTACATATTAGGGTTTGAAACAACAACAATATAAAAGTAGAATTCTTAAATTAGATAGAAAAAATTTAGGATTTTAATAAAGAAAAAAATTCGAATTATATAGAGTTTTGATATATTTAAAACCCAATATATATATATATATATATATATATATATATATATATATATATATATATATAAATTCAATGATTTTATATTCGAAATAAAATCATTCATCAATTGAAAGTTTGTTTAACATTGCTCATGATGTTTCTCTCATTCTTAATTTACAAGAATCATTATTTCTTATTCATCTAATTAGGTATTTTCTTAAATAAAATAACATTAAATTTTCAATTGTACTTCTCTAAATTTATGCATTGTCATGATGGGAACCAAACCCCATATAACTTGGAATACATTAATTCTTATTCATCTAATCATTAATTCTTTTCCTTACAAAAATAATGTTGCTGTCTTGCTTTCTTCTTTCAACCTTAGTTGAGACCTGAAGCCATTAAAGGAGAAAAGCAACATCATTAGCGTTGCTTATCTAATCCCTCCTCCTCCTCCTCCTCCTCCTCCCGGCGTCTCTCCGTTGCGGCAACGTCTGCAGAGAATATTTGAAATAATTAAGATCGTGAAACATAAAAATTAGGAACTACAAAATCATGAAAGACATGAACGTAATGGTACTGATCAGATATCAGTAAATGGTTTTATTAACCTCTGTAGCCTTTTCCGGAGATATTGATAGCACCAAGCAATCTGCCATGCTAGGTTCAATAGGATTACAACCACGATCAAAGCTCGAAGTGGAAATACATTTGCCACGCTAGTATCTGTAACTATAGCCACCCCAAATACAAACTCTGCTGCAGAAATAAGCAAGAGAACGCACATCATAGGCAACAAAAGAAGTGAAGTAGATTGCCAGTCCCACAGGAAGACTTCAGTCAATGCTACAACCACAATTACTGCTATTGATAAGAAAAAGCATAGCGAATTGCACAAGAGAAAGTTGAGGAATTTGTTTTTGCCTAATTCCCAACCAATGGATAGTCCAGGCTTGTGTGAGTCGCCATCACTAACGCTAGCCAACTCGAACAAACCTACGAATAACGAATCACTCCACGAGTTGGGATCGGTGTCGTTGTCACCACCAGCAGTAGCAGCTATAGCAGCTTTAGTAGTATTGGATGAAGCCCATTCCTGCCACACACCTCCGGGAGGATTCATTCCCACTTGGAAAGATAGCGAGGCAAAGATGGCTGCCAAAATGCCAATGCCATTCTTTAATGATCCAACAAACCTTTCCCTTCTACCTACCGAGCTTCCTTGTTGGTTACTGACAATGGATTGCACTAGCCGTTCAACTCGCTCTGTAAGCTCTGCTCCTACACTTCGAATTATTTCTTGTATTTCATCTGCACCATTAGATCCTTTCGCCGATCTTACCACCAAGTCTAACGCAGTAAGTCCTTCAGAATTAACTGCATTTGCATCCACGCCAGTGCTTGACAGAAGCTTGACCATCTGCGAAATCAAATTTTCGTCACCGAAAGGATTACAAGTCTACAGTTTAGTTGTGCAATAAACCACAAACCAACAACAAATTTCTGTGGTTTGGCTTTCCCTACCTTATACATTTAAATTCTCCAATTAAACCTCAATAACAAGCTCATAAAGTTATGTCTACTACAGAAGGGTTACATCCAAGGCTTGCAAAACATCTCAAATAAGATGCCTCAACAGGCGCCAAGAGTCTTATACATTCAAACTCTCCAAGGGTTTGGCTTTCCCTGTATGTCTTCGTTTATGAGGGGATAGAAAAAGACTTTAGAGGAATAGCAAACATCGTTACCTTTGATTTTTTTCCAGCACAAGCAAGGTGAAGCACGGTATTACGGCCTGTATCCACGGCATTGAGAAGCTCATTGCCAATTTGGTGTTGATTGGCAAGCTGAATCAACAGCTCTAGTGCCTGGTATCGATTGTGTTTCACAGCGAGTTGCAGAACAGTCTCCTCACTTGAGGTCAGCTTTTTTGCTGATTCAGTTGTAAAAAGCTCTGTCAAGATGTCTTTCCTCCCTCTAATGGTGGCCGTGTGAAGGGGAACATTTCCATCCTCATCTTTTATAAGAGCAAGATCGGGTCGACGAACCAGCATCTCCCTCACAGTCTCCCTGTGGCCTTTTGCGGAGGCCAAATGGATGGGGCTAAGACCTTGCTGGTTAAGTTCATCTGCTAATCCAGGATAATTTTGCATCACTTCCATGGCGAATTGAGTATGACCAAGAAGCGCAGCAATGTGCAATGGTGTGTTTGATGTAGCGACTGTTACAGTATGGAGGACTAGAGGATCTTCTTGGATTAATTCTTGCAAGGTATTCACATCTCCGGTGAAAGCTGCGTCAAACAGTACTCTAGAATCCATTGAAATTTATCAATGGTCACATTCCACCGTTGAGTGTTTTCATAGCAAAAAGAAGGTAAAGGAAGAGCTAAGAGAACCACTTGATTTTCTGAGAGATTGGTACGTCGGTCTCTATGAAAATTCCACAAGCAACATACCGCTTATAGATACTTCTGAAACTTCACAGACCTTTCTTCCACTATGAAAAAGAAAGCAAAAGCCAACAAGACTTGACTTAAAGATTGACTTGAGAAATAACAAGGTAAGTTGACGGACTTTAGGGTTGCAACCAAGTCAGCTTTTTAACTCAAAAAGTGTCTGCACGCAACCCCATTGCCAAACGACTGTCAAGTTTTAAAGACTATAAGGAACTATACTTGTTTACTGAGTTGCCTCTAAAAGCAAGGGATCCATCAACCACATTATCAAACCAAAACCTAATTTTATATCCATTTTCCAAGCACCCAAAGCATGGCAAATGGGCATCCACGAAAGGCAAATTAGTCAGTTTGGTTGCCTTAGATGAGCATAGGTCGATAGATCTATGCCCATTTCTGATCACTAATATGAGCCATTCCAAAATAAAAATAAAAAATAAAAAAAAATAAACTTCACTGATTTGTACAAATCTCCTGTAACGTGAAGCAGCGTGACAATATTGATGTTTGAGATTGTAACTCCTAATTTTAATGTATGGCTATCAGAAAGAGAAAAGGGCAAATTAAATGCTTCAAGCGTCCTACCAATTTTTTGGCCTAACACAGAAAAAAAGGACTCTTTTGAGAAACAAACACCTTTCTCTTGTATTTTCCCGTCTTTGGTGTTTTCCTCTTAATACTGGCAGAAAAGTATCTGAGACAGAAAATTGAAGGCAGAAGTTCCCTTGTACAGTAAAATGGAGCATGAGAAATACACGACAACAGGGGGATGCATGAATCTTTCTCCACTACTGGTTCTCGTCCATAGGATCATTACGGTTACAAGACTGAGGTCTCAAATCCTTGCCCTCTTGGTTGGATTCCTCGGACATTTTGGAAACTGAATCTTCAAGTGCCTCCAGAAAAGATAAAACGGTGAACTTGTCTGCATGTCAGAAGAGAATTAGTCATAATTTAGTCATAGTACCATGCACTAATAAATTGATGAGCTAGTTATGTTGCCACTTAAACTCCCTAAGTCGAGGTCTCTGACACCCAGAGTAGCTGCACGAAGCAGCATGAGCCCATAGGCTCAACATTAGTTTCTTGTTTTCCCTTTTAATGTGCCACATTGGGCAAATCATAATTAACATGTAGCCCTCTAAACTCAAGTTAACTTTCCCCTTCAATTATATAATCAATCCAGATTAAAACTTTCCAAAAAAAGGATTAACTAAAGAATTTAGCTAATGGTGATGAAAATACATAAATGATTAGCCACAGAGAAAACCAAGAACTTAGGAACAATTGCTAACCTAAAGTTTTGAAAGATAAAAACCACTCACATTTACTGGGGTCGATCCCAAATTGAGACAAATCTATTTGTCCAGTTCGGAGAACCTTCAAACAACAAGAAAAGAGTTAAACCTTATAAAATTGGCTATCATCAGACAGATGGGCCTCGCATTTCTTACATAAGTAAAAGAATCAACTTGCTGACGGAAAGGTGGGCTTTGCAACAAATCTAAAATATCCTCTGAAGTCCAGTGACCCTGCAAACTCAAAATTACATAAGAAATGTGGCAACATAAAACACAGAGAAAATCCCACACATAAGACTGTCTTATACCTCAGGCAAGTGAGATGTTAATCCTTCTTCAAGCGGTAATGTCTCAATCAATGGCATTATCAATTCAGGCTTCAGTATATCCCCTAATCCCAAACCTATGATAGCAAAAGGAAATATCATGGGAAGAAGATTTTACAAGAATGCACCATGTGCCTGAGCATATAATTCGCAGAAAAGAAAGGTTTAACAATAATTTCACAGTTTACTGTACATATAAAATATGTATTAATAATTACCTTCATCTGGATCACCTGAGCTTCCTGCAACATGTACCATCACATCACACAAGAGTCAAAGGTCATAGCTAAGTATAGAAAACAAAGATATGGTCAAATACAGTCTCTAAACAGAACAGACCTCCAGCACCAATATTACTCAGGATTCTTTGCAAGTCTTCCAATTTCACTGGACCTGATGAAGAGGTTACATCACTCATTACTTCACTACCAAGGTTTGGGAAAACTAAGTTTCCAGCCCTGAAAATTATAAGCAAATATCACATCAGAATAAAAAAAAAGGTCACATAATACATATTAGGCCATTGCTTTTCAATAAATATAGTGCTCCTCAACCCTTTTAAAGTTAATTTGCAATGAATCACAAGAATTAAAAATGTATATACATCGACAAACACCAATTTATCACTTACAAATTCCCATATAAAAGATGCCTCAAGTTTTAGAAGTCATTCCGAGGTCAAATCTGTGCAAGGGCATAATGGGATGGAGGATTAGACAAGGGCTAAGGGGTGGGTGAGATGTTTTGTCTAGAAAATGGTTTTGAAAAATTTCTTCAAAGATTTATTGATATTTGTTGAACAGCTATTAACTAAAGAGCAACTTCGGTCATCTATGTGGATGCTTAGGAGGGACTTTTATAACAGCAAAACCAAAAAGGGAAAAGAATCAGGAATTGTCATCTTTGAGTATGTTTCTTGTTATAACAAATATACCTTGATGAGATATCATCTTCAAGCATGTCTTCAGAAACTTGCAAAGGAGCAGAAGCATCAGGCTCTTCTTCATCAAGGAACTCTGCCAGACAACAAGATGAAGTAGTGACGTTGATGATGGAAAAACTTCACCCATGAATGAGTGCTGAAGTTATAAGCCAGGCCATTAGTTTGTAGGTGTAACTACAACATTCTTATGCAAAAGAGGTTTTCTTTATGAAATTATGCAGATATGAGAAGATAAATGCAGATGCAATTTAAAACATACCCTCTGTGAGAGAGAGTAACATAAAGCAATTGTACAATGTTCTAATGTAAAATTAGCAAAAAGTGATTTATCAACTACATCACATTGTTTGCATTTAAGAGATGGGGTGTAGGAGTGCAAAAGATTAGACTCTACATTTAAACATAAACCAAGATGATTAGAAACAAGATAATGAAGAGTAGCATGGTTAACAAATGACTCAAAACATGAAAGAAAAAATTCACCTAATGGACGATTAATATAATAGTTGACAGAGCTACATAATTGTGAGTCATCTTCGGCTTTTGGCTCCTGCAAACATATTACCCAAAATGTTTCTAAAATCAATACTGCACATAAGAGAAGAAACACAGAAAATGAACCTGACCTGCATCCAAAAGAAAAACTTCCGATCATCTGTATTGAATTTCAAGATGTAAACTCTTCCCGAAGCTTGATTAACCTGAATATGCCAAAAGATTATGACATTACAAACAATTATTAGATTCATCTATCCCCAATCTCATCAAAATTGAGAAAGAAGAGAGTGTACCTTCTCAAAAATTGCCTCTTCAGGAAAAATAATCTGATCCTATAAATGTGTCAAGAAAAAGCTACAATGTTCTAACCACAAAAAGAAATACAAAGAATAAAAAATAAAACAAAACACTGATAGTAGAGAGAAACAGAATTTTCATGCACAAAAACATAATAATAGTAACTAGGATACATCTTCCACGGCATTCAAATTCCTATCAAGCCACTGAAAATGAAGCAAACCCTCCTCGCCCTGTCACAATTCAAAACTGGTGACTTCAAAACAGCAAACAAGATGCTAGAAACACATATTCTCTGGCACTAAAGATGAAGCAAAACAACTGAAAATCTTTACACAGGCACAATCTCCATGTAGTACCAAAAACCCAAAACAGTGCAGTTTACCCTTCCAATTCGAACAAGTCCTTTTCGCGAATCAGGAACGACTTTTTTTCCTTCAAAAACCATTTTACCAGCACGAAACTCCAACATAATTTCCTACATATAAAACAACCACAACACCATAACACAACCCCATCAAGAAAAACACACTTACGCACACAAAAACAGTAATTTGAGACTCTAATGAATAAGTTACAGAGATTTAAAGCAAAACCCACAATTTTAAAAGTGATTCTATTTACCTGCATTGCTGGAATAGCTTCAGCTGATGAAGAACCCATTATTATCCTATACTTGCTGTATACAGCTTCCTTTCTTTCAACACTACAAAAAAAAAAAAAATCAAATTCCGAAATCAGAAACAATAAGAAGAAAAATGAAAGGAAACCCAGAACTGGAATATTAGCTAAAAAGTGGCACCTGACCAAATTATTCGATTGATTTCTAGAGAGAGAACTTGGGGATTTGTAGGGGTTTTTTTTATTTTTTATTTTATTTTTTATTTTAAGAGATGTCGGGTTTTTCTATTTAATTTCCGTGTCTTTTATTCGACTCGGTTGTTGTAAGATTACCAAAATGTCACTCCGGGGCAAAGGGGTTGTTCCCTTACTATTTTTTTTTCAACAATCAAAATATCATCACCTTAATTTATTCGTTAATATAAACAATTTTTTTCTTAAACGATCTTACAAAAAAACAAAAAAAAAATCATATTTTTAAATTTTTGAAGAAAATAAATTCCTCTCAAAACTAATTTTAAGAACAATTTAAATAAAAAAAAGATAAAATTGTGGTTTTTTTTTATTTGGATAATTAATATATTTTCATATCAGTTTATTTATTAATAGAAATAATTGTTTTAAATGATTTTCTTTTCTCTTGTGCTTTGAATTTCATCTATTGAAAATGGAGAAAATATTAATCATTGGTCCCAAAATTTTGTTTGAAATGCAAGGCAAAAAAAGATCAGAGGGGGTACATTTGTCATTTGGTAACAAAATTAAAGGGTTTCGCAAAGCAATTCTAAATGAAAGATCAGGGGTATATTTGTCATTTGATAAATTAGAAGTCCCCATTTTTTCGTCTCTATCCACCGGAAAGAATTTCTCAGTTTTGTATTAGCAGAGTATTTAGAGAGAGAAAGTAGAGAAATGGGTGAGACTGATTTGAAGTCTTCTTCAATTTGGCAAGAAATTGAACAGTCTGAGAGGTAATTCATTAGTTTTTCAAATATTTTTGTTTGTTTTTTTAATTGATTTTCAATTTTGGTATTGTTGTTTCTTTGGTTTTGCAGCTACTTAGTTTGTTCAATGTATGAAAAGGCAGCAACTTTAGCTTCTTCAATTATAGAACGAATAAAAGACAGCAACTTTGCTGATAATAATGAAGATTTTGATGAGATTGAGGTAGTTGACATGTTGGAATCAGCTGGCATGGTGTTTGTTCAGGCTTTGAATCAACTTGGCAGGTTCCCACCATTCTTAAAATGCAAATAATCTCTTCTTCTTTTTTTATGCAGTTTTTTGATGTTGTAAGAGTTTTTCTGAAGTGGGGTTTTGGGTTTAATCTGTTTCGTGCAATATGGGTGGTGATATTGGCTATTTATGGTGAAGGGTACTTTCAAAATGTAATGAAATTTATGATTTTTAATGCAGGAGATCAAAGATTTTGAATGAGCTTAAAGTGCTGTTTGTTTCTGCTACAGCTATTCCTGTTCAAGTTCTTCTCACAGGGTATTCTTTACCTTTTCTAAATTTTGTGTTTTGATTTGTTTGTAAATCAATAAGTGCTAAAAGTGGTTCAAAATTTTGATTTTTGCACTGAAGATGTATATTTTTAGCTAATGATGGTGTAGCTTTTTTGCTGAGAAGGTAACTAATGAACTTTGTATGACATTTTGATTGGTTAATTAGAATGAGTTTTCGAGGAGGTACTGGGCATGTTTGAACCTTTTTGTATCTTCTACTGGCGTATTTAACTGTACCTCTATGATGGTTAGACTCTCAATGGTATATAAGCTTTGAAAAATGGCCTTGGTCAAAGGTGTTTCTACATGTTGTGGAGGGTTGGTGTCACTTGATTTCATTTTTATTTGTCAGGGCATGTTTTCAGATATCAGGATCTTCATCTGCTGGTGTCCGAGAGTTTCTTGAGGAGTTCCTCAGCAACTGGAGTTTAATGGATGGGAAATACTATGTTCTTGTTGGTGCGGAAGCAGATGTTGATGTCCAGGAAGGATGTGATGGGAGGTATGTTTTGGGAGTTGATAAGTATATGGAGGTTGTTGAAGTCTATGCTGTGACACTTCTTGGCACGACTCTGAAAGATTTGGACAGTGCAATCTCATGGGTCGAAAAAGCTGCGTTACCTGATGAAAGTCGACAGGTAAAATTTAAAATCTTGCATCTTATGTTGGCGTTGGCCACTTTTTTGAATTGCTTGAATTAATTGTATGCTGAATGTCCTTGTTGAATAATCTTTTGATAGAAAAATATCATTCTATAATATCTTAGTATCTCTCTTATGCTGCCATGTCTTTTTCAGGTACTTTTGAGGCGACTGCACTCTTTATATTCTCTCAAAGGCAACAATTCATCACAAGGCTCGGCAGTTTTGCCAGAAAATAACCATGAAGCTCGTTATTCTTCGTCAAAAGAACTAAATGGTTTTGAGGGATCTCCAAAAGGATTAGAAGCCAATTACCAGCCTATTGGGGAGAACAATACAAAACAAACAATTTTGAAGCTGGCCAGGCGTGTAGATCCATGTTTTTGGTGGTTCCAGTCAATCAATTTGAAGTTTGGGAATGCTCGAGTGGTGATAACAAATGGGAAAATTCTTCTTGGATGTTTCATCCTTCTTGCATATTATGTTCTCCGGAGGAAAGGGGCTACTTTGAATGGGTAAGATGTGTTCTTCTTGCCATCCTGTATTCAATCCCTTCATGATAGAGGAGGCACAAATAAGATTCTACTTCCTCAAGGTTCACCACATCACTTGCTTCATGGCCATGGCATACAATAACTGGACCTTCATGTGACTGAAAGTATTAAACTGAGCTAAACATTTGTTCTAAACTAGTTAGGGATGGCTACATCACATAGAAAGCAAGCCAAGAAAAGGATAATGGTGCTTCCTTGTTAGCAGTTTTAGAGAACTGGTGAATCAGTGGGTATCTGAACCCTTTGAATAGTATCTACTTGGATCACAATTATAGGTTGCAGAATTGTTTGAATAAGAAATGGTAGTAAATTTGAACTAGCTGTGAAGAAATCAAATTTCCCAATTTCTTGATAATTAATCTTTATTTTCTCTTCTTTTTTCCTCTTCCTTTGCATTATATGTTGCAGGATTGTTAGAAGGCAAGTTTCAGCTGCAAAGAAGGCTTTGCTAGACTTGTGGCAGCTTGCATTTTCCTATCAAGTAAACCCTCTAGCTGCAGTTCAACCTCTCCCTACTGCAACACGAGGAGGCCGGTGATGGCGCCACTTTTCGAATCAATGCTTATGATACTCTCCTTTTGGTGGCTAACTCACATCCTGTCATTCTTTCGGGGAACCGTGAAGTAGCTCAAATTAAATGGTAATAATGTGTATGATAAATTTTTGAACAAGAAAAACAATCATGTTAATCACATAATAATGCGATGTAACAAATGATATCGTTACAATGTTAGACTTTGTGCATGCTTCTTTTTTCCCTTTTATTTCCTCGTTTCTCCATTTTGCAGAGAATTGAAGGCATTAAACTATCATGTATCCACTAGCTCTGTCTACTTTCGTTTACTGTTACATTATCCTCCTCGTTGATGGTTCTTTCATGAAGGTAATGGTGATCTTCTAATGTATCTAATTAGAGTAATCTGTGGAATCATCTGAAAGCTATGAGATAAATTGCATTTGAATTATTCGAGTGAAAAGATAGTACAATCCAGGAACCTTGCCAAAATAGTTGCAGAAGAACCAGAAGGACTTTCTTTTTCTTTGTGATTTATTCAACACTGTGGTTGGCTTCTATTGTGGTTCTAGATAAAAATGTGTCATGTCATCCTATTTGTTGCATTTATTGAAACCATAATTGAAATTGGATTGACGGCATATTTTCGATTCTTGATATTTTCTTACGGGTTAATGGTTCAATCTTTTCGTTCCATTTGTCGTGATTTTCATACTAAAAAAATAGAATTATTCATGTTATTTACAAATAATTATTTTTTATTTTTAAAATGCTCTTGCAAGCAAGTCCAACAGAAAGCTTTCGCACGCACATCATATGATTAATTTTGATAGTTTAATTTGAAAATCTTGTCAGAAGAATAGGCTAAACACTTATTGTATATTTAATAATAAAATTTATTTAATTAAAAATATAAAAATATATTAAAAAATAATCTTATTATATAAGAACATATTAAACCATTAACCATTTTCTTGAAGTTAATAGCAACTAATTGCAATGTTAAGGAAAAAATCATTTTCAAGATTGAAATTGATTGGTAAAAAATTACAAATTCAATTTTATTTTCACCTTTAAAATTATTTTGTTGCAGAAATAGTTTGAGGAATACAATACTTCTCAAATCCAAAATTATTCAAAAAAAGAAAAAGAAAAAAAAAGTGTAACCAAATATAAATAGGATAGGTGAAGAATTATAATTATGATACTTACAACGTGAAATTCCTATTTAACCTTTTTATGGGTTAAATTTAATTTTGTTTTTCCATTTTCATGTCTTAGTAACTCCCTCGTTTAACAAAACTTTAGGGGGTTATATTCTTCACAAATTGCAACAGAAGAAGCAATTTAACTCTTTTTTTTTTTTTTTTTTTTTTTCATGCATGCATGACTACTTTAATTATTTAGCAAAAAAATAAATTTAAAAAAAAAAAAAACGGAAGAGGCAATAATTGTGGCTTCACCGCAAGCACTGATAAAAACCTTTTCTTTCTTTTTTTTACTTTTTTTCCTTTTTGCGTTTCCATGAATGAAATCAACTACTAAAATATAAAGAATACATTATAAATTAGTGTTTTTAGTTTTGCAAAGCAAATTAAATATTTTTTATTGTTTTAAAAATTAATTATTTAGTTCCTTAATTAGTGTTGATCATGCTTAATTTAATATTGTTTTACTTAAAAAAAAAATTTCATCAATCCTTTCATATTTTTTACTTTTTTTTTAATTTTCTATTTATTAAAACAAAAAATAAAAATAAATTAAAAAGGAATGAAAATAATTAAATTAAAAAATATAAAAAATAAATAATTATTTTTTGAAAAAAAAAACTAGTTAGTTCTTTTTTTGAAACTAAAGAAAGCGATTTATAATTTACTCTTATTGTAATTGGTTGGAGAAAATGAAAAGAAAATAGCATAGAAATAGAAAAATGAATGTAAGAGAAGTGTTAAATGTCTAAGGCAACTAACATGAGTAAATTAAAAATTAGTCCCTTTCGTTTCAAGAAACAAATTAATTAATCTATTTAGTTTTAAAAACTAACTATTTAGTTCTTTGTATTTTAATTTCGTTGATAACTTAGATTTTTTTCATTAGTTTTTCATTAAATTACTGATTTTTTTTCCTCAAATTGCCTTTCTTTTAATGTTTTATTTCTCTCTTTCTTTCTTTTTTTTTTCTGTCTCTTCAACCATTATCAAAGAAATGATAATTTGAGATCAAAATTATTAATCTAACAAAAATCTGATGAAAGAACTAAGTTGTTAACGGAATTAAAACATAAAATACTAAATGATTAGTTTTTTTTAAAAAAGAGAGTAATTAATTTATTTTTCTAGACGAGAGGGACTAAATTTATAATTTACTCCCACTAACACATGGCAATTGATCTTTGGTATGCTTAGTTGAAGGAAAATGCATGCACCATGTGGCAGCACGATGTCGATATGGGCAACATGCTTCTGCCTCTATTAAGTAAGTTAATATACTATAAATCAAAGCCAATTTACGGGCCGACCATACTTGGTTGAAATAATTTCATTAAAAAAAAAAGCCATTAATAATAAAGTAAAAAATTCAATTCTCAGATAAAGAAATAAACACAATAATTGAGATAAAATACTGTGACTTCTACAGTAGCGGACACGGCTTCCACACGGGATGATGATATAATTCAAACCATAGTCAAATTAATTAGTGGAGTTAGTTAAGCTCAAACTTTGGACTTCTAAATGTTAGTTATTTATATTATTTTAATTCTGTATCATTGATTTGACCGAATTGGAGCCAACTTGATTTAAGAATTTATTTAATTACCTCAATTGTGGCTTTTCGAATTGTGGCTTTTAGAATACACCATAAATTACACGTGATCTAATATTAATTTAGTTTAAAAATATTGAATTTAATTTCAATTATTATAAAAATTAACTCAAAAATACTTTAAAACACACACATATATATACACCTTAGTCGTGGATTATGTGATTAAGTGTGTGCTTAATAATATGTGCAATGTTGGTATTTTCATAAAAATATTTTATTTTTAGTTGAAAAAAATTAGTGTGATCTAATATTGATTTAGTCTAAAAAAATATTAGATTTAATTTCGATTAATATATATATATATATATATATATATATATATATATATATATATATATCGTGAATTATGTGATTAAGTGTGTGCTAAATAATGCACCTGGTGTAGGTTTTTTTATAAAACTGTTTCATTTTTAGTTGAAAAAAATTGGTTTTTTCGATAGTTTTGACATCTTTAATTATATTAAAACCATCCAAACCAATTAAAAAAAAACATTTGTTGAGGATTTTTTTCTAGCCTTTTGTTTTTGGAGCGTATTTTTAATTATAAAATTTTTTTCACCACGTAGTTAATGTAATTTATCTTTAGTGAAGTTGTTGATTGCTAGAGATGAATTAATTTTAAGTTTTTTTTTATATACATATGTGGCTAATCAACAATATTATCTAGACAATAGACTGAAATAAAATACGTGACATTATTTGTGGCTTGATGAATGATATTTTTTAGAGCATAGACTCAAATAAAATACATGACATTATTTGGATAAGTCGCTATATGTAGAGTAAGCAATAAATAGACAAAGAAAACAAATTCAACGGATAGGTTTTGTCATAAGGCAACAGTGTTATTCCCAAGAAAGCTTCTTCATGATTGATTCTTGCTTCTATCAGCATTCTTAGTTTAATGAAAACATCATAGTTTGTCCTATGACACACCATGTTGTGGTGGTTAGTGAGTAATTATTACTAGTTTTTAATTTTATTTCAAGAAAAAAATACTTAATAAATTGAAACACATGATCTAAGACTTATGGACGTTATTGCAATTTTTGTTTGATTTGTTCACAAGATTAGATAATGGAGCTACCAATTCATCCTAATTGGAGACCTCTCACCTTTCTTCACTTTATAATTTCGTTGATGTTAAAGAAATTCTCGGAATCAGTTTATATATCGAGACTAAGTTTATGTTTTTGTTAAACTTTAAATAAGTTATCTATATTTTTATTAATAAATTCATAAAAAAAAAAAAAATTCTTGTTACCTATTTCAAAGTTCGAATTCTAAATGACAACATAAATAACTATATATCTTATCCAACAAGTTAAGCTTAATTAGCTTCCAAAAAATAAAATTGATTACTTGAAAGAAAAAAAATGAAAATAACTTTTAGGATATTGGTAGCTATAATTCAGAAACTAAGAAGTCCTCATAATTAACTTATTTATTTATCTATGTTAGCTTTATGTTGATTTGATGATTTTATTGTCGTTTCTAGTCAAGAATAATCTAATATGAAACCTACAGCAGAAAATTAATTTATTGTAAATTCTATGCTTTATTATGCCATAAAAATAAAATAGAGTTCCAACTACATTAGCAACTTGATAGGATCTTAGACTCTTAGCTTTCTTCTATGATTCGTTTCATTGTTAGTTGTTTAAGTTATTGTGCAAAACTATACTTACATTTTATGAAATGTGTAATTGCATTATTCTACTTACTTTTCTATATATATATTCATAAAATTAGCTAAAGATAAGCTCATCATACAACAAAAAACATTTCACATATATTCTGAAAAGACCTATCACACCTATATTGAAATGAAAATTTAAAATATTTTTACAAATAGAATTAATTAGATATTTTTAGATATACTATTGTGTAACAAGTAAGAAGAATTTCAATTTTATAACTTATATGTTTCGAATTCGAATTAATTAGATATTCTATGTTAATCCTCAAGCATACATAGTACTAATTATACTACTATGTATGATTGAGGATTGGCATCAAATATTTGACTAATGTAACCTAATCCACTACAAAATGACATATTTGTAGTTTTTTTTAGATTGATGCTTCAATTATTGGTTTGTACCTTCCTCGGTTTCTCTTCGTACCACCCTCATGCTATTTTTGTTTGACATTCTTACAACCAATTATAAAGAAATAACAAAATAATAATAATAATA